GGGCGCGCTGCTGCCGGACGAGACGTACGAGGAGGCGGCGCGCCACGCCCGGCGCCTGCTGGCCGTGCTGCGCCTCTACGACGACTTCCTCGAGCGCCACCGCATCCGCCCCGAGTTCTTCTGCCGCCACCGCGAGAAGGCGGCGCTGCAGCGCTCCCTGCGCACGCTCGACGAGCCCTCCCCGCACGCGCACGCCCACGCGCACGCACACACCGTGCCCAGGCACGCGCTGCTGCACCATCACCAACACCACCGACGCTACCCCGCCTCCGAGCGACGCTGCTCCGGTGAGTGCCCAAAGCCTTTATCTCTTCTTTGCTATCATCACGCTTTAAATTAAATGTCCAGTGTACTAATTGTTTATCACCGAATTGAGCGCTTAACATTCTTTCTTGAAAATCATATTTTGATGTGTGCTTTTCTTGCATTCTTACCACATAAAGACCATCATGCGAATAAATTCTACTTGGCGAAATGACAAAAATAATAGACTTCAACCGCCCCAGCATAACTCAGCCAACCGTTGAGAAAAGAATGCGAATCATTTCCGTGTGATACTCGCCGTCCACGTCTTCCAATTTTGTTTGGCTTGAATGAGTGCGAAAAAATCGCTCACGTGACTGAGGAGACCTACCTAGATAAAGCTATCAGTGTACACTCAGATCATCTATCACGTTTCTTTTGACCGCACCAGTGCAAAGATGCGCTTGTTCCATTCAGAAACTGGCACGGAACGAAGGCACAATCTCAGCGATTTTGAATGCGATTAGGGACGTTTGCACCGTGAAGCGTAGTAGCAGTCGACTGCAATATCGATATCAACAGCGGGTGTAGTCGAGGAAGAGTTTCACATTTGTTCAACTAGAGCTGCCCATATATCTTGCTCTGTATTTCTTGCTCTGCTCATACACCATGTAACCTTTTCACCCTTAAATATAATTAATTGATTGGTGGTATTTGTACTAATTTTAATAATTGCAATGCGTTAAAGAATTCAGTTTTAAGACATTTTGATCATAGAAAAGAAAGAATAAGAAACATATAGAGAAGTTTGTTAATGATGTACGTATACTCTGCACATCAATGACTCCCTCTCCTGATTGCTACAAGGTGATGGAGACAACTGAATAGTCTCTGAGCAGTTCACTTAGTTGCTTTCTGTGCAAAGCTTCCGACTGTTGGAAGATGTCGCTTGTATGCTGCGACCACCGTAGCTGCGGTCTCTTCCGAGTTCATGTCTTTCGCTGCGATCTCGCAAAGCGATGCACTTCACGCTGGAGCCGACAGTTGCCGAACATCTCAGAAAATTGCCGCTTCAACGGTTCCGGACGTCCACGAGAGCACAGGCCACCTGCACGCGACCGCAAGAGTTGAGCTACTTGCCCGCACTCCAGCGCCTGATTCCAGCTTGTTGCCAAACCGCAGTGCATAATTAATTTCTTGCTCTTATCGGTTCAAGCCGTCAGGAAGTAATAAAAGACAAAATTTAATTCTGTAACATTATTGAGTGCGTAGTTTGTTAACAAATATGTTGTTATTAAAGAGGGAAACTAGGATTCAGGAACTAACTATATTGCTTGCTTATATTTAATACATCACTACCTTAGTCAATATGTCTTAGCTTATCCTCATTTTTGTTCTAGTTGAAAACGTTGTTTGAAACAAATAGTTTTTCGTAAAAGGAAACGTGAATATTATACAATAACATCCGGTTTCCCTAAGCTTACAATGT